TCGACTCCAGATAAATATCCAATCTTCATTCGAAGTACGGTACAGTGATTGACGCATGCCTCGAAAATTATCGATAAAGCCTCGTTCCGCTTCATTTCCGCCGTTTCTCGACATATTAGCGTTCTAATTGGACATACCTCCGCGATTTTTTAATTTGCGCGTTATATCATATTGACGTTTTCTCGTGATGGAAGTAAAATTATGTTTCGCATAATTTTGTTCAAATATAAATTTCTTATTATTTTGTTAAAACTGTGATAATAATAATAATAATAATAATAATAATAATAATAATATTAAAAATATTTTATTATCTTATATATAAAAACATAAAAATCTTATTTCGCGTTTGATCGATTGCAACGAGTCAAAGCGCTAAACGTATACAATTTGATAAAATACATATATACGTAGGCGTATTTTTTACGAAAGACTACATTTTCTACATCGGAGGTTAAACATTCCGCTTAAACTTTGTACCGCTAGTACTTGCTCGACGACCGGCATTTCTGTAAGATTTTCCACCTCTGGTGATATGCGGAGATCTATCTGCGAAGCGAAGGAAGAATTTGAATCTCACGGAAGTCAAGGCGCGAGTTAATTTGTCACTCTCTCCACTCTCGTACACAATTTCCTCTTTTCGAGCCCTGCCAACATCTTTCTCATTATCTTTGAAATAAACGACCGAAATAACTGTTAATAGGGACGTTTGACGTTGGTTAGGCCCAAGAGTGAAGCGAACGTGCGGATTGTAATCGTAGAAACGGTACTTCTCTCGCAGGTATCAGCGCGAAACGAGGAAGCGAAACGAGATACCTAAATAAATGCGTTACAAAGGTGTTGATTTTAGAAAGTAACATTTTGCACTGCACGGATGATTACTTCCGGGAACTACGAAAATAATAATTCCTAACTTCTTTCTCAAATTGACTTAAACGAGCGCAAATTCGCTGTTTGACCGTTGTTCGCGATAAAATACCTAAAATTGCACATCAGACACGTAGATACTTGATTTATTAACTTTTGTAGATGATTTGATACATTAATTGCTCGAAAATAATTATCATACAAACGGCACTATTTTTGCGCCTATGTTGATTGTCAAACTTTTTAATTTGCGAAACTAAACTAAACTAAGATTATTTTACTATTGTCGCGCAATGGATTCGCAGGGATTTTCGCCAAGGAATCCACCGCCCGTAATAAAAACCTACTGATTGTGAGACCATGTATATGTTTTCATAAAACGTCCGGTGTACGCGCGTACATCACGGCGGGGAAAAATTTTCGACGGTCGCAGATGCGGCTGGCCGATCGAACTTTAATGTCGTTTGCAAGCGGCTTCTCTCGAACGGCCGAGCGGGTTGTCGCGTTCTCACGTTCCATTGCAAAACTGTCGAAACTGTCGAATCGTGGACAAAGGGTGTATAATACGAAAGTTACAAACAGAAGGAAGGAGGGAGAGAGAGAGAGAGAGAGAGAGAGAAAGAGAGAGGAGAGATAGACGTGTTGGCGCGAGCACGCGGACGCGAGCCTCGATATGAGTCCGATGCAAGTTCTTGGAGCGTATAATATTCCACGTGCGAGTTGTCACTTCGTGACCGCATTTCAGTGACTAATGAGCGCTTTCGAAAGCACATTAGGTACTGTCAGGTACACGGTTGCTGTGCAATGCCGCGGCGAGTTCCTGTGAGGGGATCTCGTGATACACATACGCGTATATATATATACGTACATATGCAAGTGTACGTATAGGGTGTGTGTTATACATACCACATATATCGTGTGTCGAAGAGATGGTAGAAGCGAAAACCGGGATTAGGGTGTGGTGAACAAGCCCACTTGTCTCGAGTGAAAAGTAACAGAGAGTGTAAAAAGTGGATCGAAATGAAATGATCTGTATAGAATTATTGACAACTTTGCGGCTATATTGAAAATTTCAAGTGTGTAATCTTAAATTAAATAATGTACGAGTAGTTTTTGTGATGCTTTAATTTTTAATTATATTTATATGACATTCATCATTATATTTTAAATGTTGTGATTATATTATTCTTATTTATATATAGTACTTACCGTTGCTGATATATTTTGTTGGTATCAAGAAGTGTTTGATAAATTTCGTATGGATTGCTGAAATACGCAAGAAAGTAAAAAAAATTTTTAAATTTGTTATAAATCAAATTTTACTGGAATAATTAGGAATTCAAAGAACAAATCGCATTTTTACAAAATACAAGAGGGAAACGTTTAATATATATTTACATATGTGAACAATGTATATAACATTTCCGTTAAGATTGTTGTTATGTGTATAGAGAGGAAAAAAGAGTACAATATATATATATATATATGGCTAAATAATCAAATCAGAATGAGGTGTAAGTATATATACAGTATTAAAATTATTACACAATACATTGGACGCAATCATTTGTTTGCTCGAAACACGAGCTGGTAATTATTATATTATATTAATTATTAATAACGAAAAGTATGGTCATTGATTGCCATTAGGAAATAATGTCCATACACACACACACACACACACACACACACACACACACACACACACACACACACACACACACACACACACACACACACACACACACACACACACACACACACACACACACACACACACACACACACACACACACACACACACACACACACACACACACACACACACACACACACACACACACACACACACACACACACACACACACACACACACACACACACACACACACACACACACACACACACACACACACACACACACACACACACACACACACACACACACACACACACACACACACACACACACACACACACACACACACACACACACACACACACACACACACACACACACACACACACACACACACACACACACACACACACACACACACACACACACACACACACACACACACACACACACACACACACACACACACACACACACACACACACACACACACACACACACACACACACACACACACACACACACACACACACACACACACACACACACACACACACACACACACACACACACACACACACACACACACACACACACACACACACACACACACACACACACACACACACACACACACACACACACACACACACACACACACACACACACACACACACACACACACACACACACACACACACACACACACACACACACACACACACACACACACACACACACACACACACACACACACACACACACACACACACACACACACACACACACACACACACACACACACACACACACACACACACACACACACACACACACACACACACACACACACACACACACACACACACACACACACACACACACACACACACACACACACACACACACACACACACACACACACACACACACACACACACACACACACACACACACACACACACACACACACACACACACACACACACACACACACACACACACACACACACACACACACACACACACACACACACACACACACACACACACACACACACACACACACACACACACACACACACACACACACACACACACACACACACACACACACACACACACACACACACACACACACACACACACACACACACACACACACACACACACACACACACACACACACACACACACACACACACACACACACACACACACACACACACACACACACACACACACACACACACACACACACACACACACACACACACACACACACACACACACACACACACACACACACACACACACACACACACACACACACACACACACACACACACACACACACACACACACACACACACACACACACACACACACACACACACACACACACACACACACACACACACACACACACACACACACACACACACACACACACACACACACACACACACACACACACACACACACACACACACACACACACACACACACACACACACACACACACACACACACACACACACACACACACACACACACACACACACACACACACACACACACACACACACACACACACACACACACACACACACACACACACACACACACACACACACACACACACACACACACACACACACACACACACACACACACACACACACACACACACACACACACACACACACACACACACACACACACACACACACACACACACACACACACACACACACACACACACACACACACACACACACACACACACACACACACACACACACACACACACACACACACACACACACACACACACACACACACACACACACACACACACACACACACACACACACACACACACACACACACACACACACACACACACACACACACACACACACACACACACACACACACACACACACACACACACACACACACACACACACACACACACACACACACACACACACACACACACACACACACACACACACACACACACACACACACACACACACACACACACACACACACACACACACACACACACACACACACACACACACACACACACACACACACACACACACACACACACACACACACACACACACACACACACACACACACACACACACACACACACACACACACACACACACACACACACACACACACACACACACACACACACACACACACACACACACACACACACACACACACACACACACACACACACACACACACACACACACACACACACACACACACACACACACACACACACACACACACACACACACACACACACACACACACACACACACACACACACACACACACACACACACACACACACACACACACACACACACACACACACACACACACACACACACACACACACACACACACACACACACACACACACACACACACACACACACACACACACACACACACACACACACACACACACACACACACACACACATATCTTTCCTTCAAAAATGTAGTCCAGATCCTCAGATACCAAAAAAATTTTATTTTTTTATTAATATAAATATGTATATACTATATGGGAACCAATGACCAATTCTTTATTTAATAATTGGAAATTAATCACTTCTAATAACTGGCAAATAAGTATTGTATATAGAATGATTCAATTATATATATAATATATAAACACGCAATTAAATAATTTTTTTATAGCTGCTTCACGAAACGGTATATAAATTTGAGAACAAAATCGCGTTGTTTTTTTTAAATACTACATAAAATATTACTAATTTTATGCAAATACATTTACAATAAATATCAAACACACTGACCGAAGAGCTCTGTAAAAAAAATAAAAGTATTGCGAGATAGATAGCATTGAGAGATATTTGTGTGACAATAAATATCAAATCGTATAGTTGTACATTATTCCTGAATGATGGACATAATAAAATATTATATGCGCGATATGATAATAAAAAATTTGTGATTGTCAATAATGCTAAAAACTTAGCAAACTGTCATAGTTGCAAAAATCCGACGTTTAATTTATATTGGTAGAGCCCATTCGCGATCAGATGATTATAATCCTTTTTCTAAGACTTAATATTAGCTTATTTTAAAAAATTTATGAAAATAATTTTAATTAACTAATCATCGCATTTATCAGTAAAAATAATTAAACTGTGTAAATTAATCGTGTAAATGTAACGTAATTAGTATCAATATCGTACAATTATTGTGCTTGTTTCTTCAATCCGTATATATTTCTGATTTCCATTCTATCATATTCATATTAAGACGTACGAGTTTCACTGATGTTAGAGAATCTGATGACGAATCAAATTACAAGTAATGTCGTAAATTAGAGTGAGATTATTCCAATGGAAATTAATCTTACAAATTATAGGAACAAAGTTCTTAGCATGATTATCTGATATCTATAACATAATTTTCAGTACGCAAGGAAAATAATATATAACTAAAGTAAAGCTAATTGTTTTTGTCGGCATGAAATAGTTTTTAAATTGTTTTTGATAATAATGCTAATTAATTCTGAGGAAATAATCTCATTCAAATCTAGCGCGTTTACATTAGTGTTTGTATATTTATATTTGCTTATCTCATTATATCTCAAAAAATATCATTTATCGTGCTCGATTGTTGACAACATCCAGTTCTGCTAGGAAATATTTCAATAATTGACTTTCTGTTGAAAAGAAACAAATTTTAGGGGGCATATATTTTATAACAGGTTAATATTCATTCGTGCAAAAAAAAAATGTTCTACCGCAGCACTATGAAATGTCACATGTAGACTTTCCACCCCGAGAGCGCCCAAATTTGCCGGTACAGACGATTGATACGCGACTGTACTTTCAGAAATAGTAAAGAAAAGCATATACCTAGCGAATCTCGAAACACCAGTAACTACAATAATCTCTTAAATTTCCTATGGGTAGACGGCGCGGCGCGGCGCGGCGTTTTACTATTCTAAAAAGGGAATCTTTACAACCTGGGAGTAACAATAAGTGCAATTTTATGTACAATAGTCTCTACCGTTTCTGGATTTGTTCAGTGTGGTGTCTGCGTTTTACAGTCTCGAAACGGCATCCTTACAAGGCTTTACAACCCGCGCGGCCAAATCGACCGACGATTTTGATTATCCTCCTGCTGGGCGTTCACTGGGTGATTTTCTCGCTGCATTGCTGACGTGAATCGCGAACACGTGCGCGCGCGGTCGCTTCGTTTTCACGGTTGCGAGAAGCTCATGAGATCTTCATGCGTGAAACAATAATCGTCTGTCCCGGGATCACTCCTCCTGTCAAACGTGGTCGCCCCAAACTGTCACTGTCTTGGCGCGATCGACAGACGCCAAGTACGTGCCGTGCGGGTGCCAAGATACGGCAGTTACTGCTGCCCTGTATACATTTAAATGTCAACAATAGATTAGTGGACGCTGCTAAGTCTTACCTTGTCCCTCTTTTAATCTTTTAACGTAGTGGACAGTAATTTCTTCGTTAGCAAAAATTTCTCGCAAAATGGAAGACAGTTTACAGATTATATAAAAAATTTTATCAAATGCAAATAAGCATATAGCACACAGAATCGTTATGTGCATAAATGGTAGTAAATTAGATTCTGCCAAGAATTCTCTCAAATATTTTGTTCTGATAAACATTCACTTTTATCCATCAAAATATTGATACATTGAAGAATTAAGTTTCTCAATGTTATATGTATAAAAAAACGTTCGTGTTCCTCGGAAACTTTGAAGAGAGAGGAAATTAAAAGTGGTGCTTAATACTGACGATATCGAATAGATGAGATAAACTGAAAGGAATTTACCTATCAATATCGGACATAATAACTCGAATCTGAACAAAATTATTCGAATAAAATAAAATCGTTTTGATATCGCTTGAAAGTTAAAATAATTTCAGATATAATAAATAGTAATCGTGTTATACAATATATTTATAGAGGTACTGATGGTAGAAATTGAACAAAAATTAGCAAAAATATGATGTTATATAGCGAAAGCAACATTAACCGATTTGGCTTACAATCAGACAGGAATAATCTCAGGTGAGATACGTAAAGGTTGTAATTTCTGCAGATTAGTTATAATCACTAAAATAGTTGCAAAAACCAACATTACAAAACTACATAAATCGTGTACGAATATGTATTGGCATAAACGCAAAACAATATTAACCCGTATTCTCAAATTGAAAAGTTCAAATAATCGATATCTGTGTGTGATTAAAATTTCCATGATATTTTATAATTATAGTGTTATTCCCCTTAATATTTTTTTCTCTTTGTTTTTTCCATCAGAAAACATTTACATTTTATTTAATATCTTAAATTCATAAAATATTATATA